CTGGGGTGATACCAGTGGGTACTGGATTGTAAGTGCAGTGTCTCTTCAGCAGTGTGAAACCACATAATTTTCCAATGATGAGACGTCCACTCACCCGCCGGCTCCACTGTCTCTGCCATCAGCTGCTCGGCCTCCACCGCTGTGTCTGTATCGTCCTCTTCCCCTGAGGAAGAGGAATCAGGCACTGGCTGGTACTCCTCATCAGTGGTGTTGCTGTCATCCTCTGAGGAGGGTGTCCCCTCATCTTCAGGAGAGGACGTGTCCTCATCTTGGGTACAAGATGTCTCCTCCTCAAGCGCAGAGGATTTCTCCCCACCTTCCCTGACCGAGCCCATCACATACTCAAGTGCTTCATTCAGTGAATATGACCTTTTCGCCATCTTGCCAGAGAAAGAATGATCTGGGAGCTGTTAGGCTCACTTATAGCATTAGTACTGACTGCACCTGCATAAACTCCAGGACAGATTTATAAACATTGTCAGACTTTGTTTTTGTTCACCCCGAAGTCAAGATGACCTGTGATCCTTTTTTTTTTTTTTTTTGGAGAGCAGCTATTTGAGTATGTAAGGGCTATTGTGTAGTTGTGTGTGGCATTCTTTTACAAAAAGATCAAAGCTACAGGTGTTTTCAACTTGTGCATCAAAGCCAAGTTTGCCTTGGAAACTCAAAGCTCAATAGCCTGTACCAAAAGAAATTCACTGAAACTTGGAGGTATGCTACACTGTAATTTATGTCACTCTATCTTGCAAATACATATTTATAGGCACATTTTTTTTCATGCACAAACACACATCATTATCTGACATCCTTAAGATCACACCTATGTCAAAATTGTGTCATTCATTTGCTCCATTGGAGTGCAGTAAGCCATCATACGCCCCTAGTGGAAACTAAGAATATTACCTGAAATTGCTCCCTTGGCAAAAAATGGACAAATGACATAATCTGGTAGAAAACATTAAAAACTAAAATTTTCAATTGTTGAGTTTAGAATGAAAGCCATTTTACCTAAAATTATATGATTTAATACTGCACATCACAAGGAATTTAAAAAAAAATGTTGTCATGGGTTTCAATTGGCCAAAAGTGTCCATGATAGAGCCACGAGGTACAATTGGAGATATACAGTATAATATTGACATATTTAAAGAGCAGGTTTTGAAAATTAAAAAATCTGAAAAAAATCCAGACCCTTGGGCAATAACATTCCATATGCATTAACACAGCTAAAATGGTCAAAAAAAAGGAAGTGAATTGGACACAAACGGCCAGCATAGAGTACAGACGGTTAATAGTTTTGTCCATTACAGCTAAACTAAGTGAGAGAGCCACACCAAACCACTCTATAATGTACAAGTCGCCGCTGTGAAGCTTCCTGAGGTGGAAACTGGCAGATAGGTGCTTCTGGAAGAGAATGGCAGCTTGTGTGAAAAAGCTTGTTTTCTCAGCCTAAGAAACTCATTTGGCACACTTAGGTGGAAATACACCAAAGTCCCACAGAATTGCATGTGAAACAGGAAAAAGCCAGAATTACATGGGAAACGCAAAAAAGTCACTTTTAATAGTTTTGTGCATTACAGCCAAACTAAGTGAGAGAGCCACACCAAACCACTCTATAATGTACTAGTCACCGCTGTGAAGCTTCCTGAGGTGGAAACTGGCAGATAGGTGCTTCTGGAAGACAATGGCAGCTTAAATGAAAAAGCTTCTTTTCTCAGCTGTTGTTCGACGTCATCCCGAGCACATGGTTACTTATCATATGGCGAATTAAAGGCCCCTGCACGCATTTAAAGCAAGGAGACCTGTTTTGTTAAATGTGCATTAATATTTGTATCGTTTTGGCCTCCTGAATGGCTCCAGGTTTAAAAAGTCAAGTTAAAAAGTATTTAAATAGACATGACAAGGTTTTAATCAATTCAATATTTATTAGGAATGGTCAAAATGTATAATAGATAAGCTGGGAAAGTGCAATGTAGCAGCAGCATTACACACAGTAACAACACACAGACATATCAAAAAAATCAACATAGAATGCAATATAAAAAATGGATAAATAACCAGTATAATTGCAGTGCAAACTAAAAATAAAAAATATAAGGTGCAGTGAACAGATGAAACATATAAGGTGCTTGGATAATAGTACAGTAAATATTAAAAAAAAAAAAACTTTTAATGTCTTTTTAAACTCTTCTCAGCCAGCCACAGCTCCACAGTCTTCCCTTCATAGAAAGCACAGAAGTGCTCTCCCCCATATTGGCTGTGGCCAAAGTCTTTCTGCTGTGGCTGGCCACAGAGTTGGCAGATCCGCAGTTTGTGGGGCTTCCTCACTTTCCCACCTGGTTTCTCTGGTTTCTCATGCCTCTGTTTGAGGTTCCAGGCTGTTGTTCTGGGGAGCTTCTGTAGCTCACCAGGGCCAAGCTGTTCCCTGATCTACTCTTGCACTGTGCGTCCTCCAGGGCCCTCTTCCACAGCACAAAAGTATTGGCCCTTGAGGTAAGTGTGGCCACCATCCACCGTGCATGCTTGGCCACGGATGTTGCAGGGGTCACCAGGTTTGTGCTGTGGCTTTCCCCTGGTACTTTGGAGGACTTTTTTGTCTTTTGCTGCTTTAATTTTGCGCCTGTACACAGTGCAACGGGTGGGCTTGCTGGTCCCCGCCACTGGCTCTGCTGCCTGAAGCCGTCAAGGAGAGGAGCTGGAGGAGGAGGAGGAGGAGGAGGATGTGCAGTCGTAGTCCACTTAAATACAAATACAATACAGAACTCTGTTAGTCAAGGTACATAGAAACACAGATGCAGTTTAACAAAGTATATTTCTAACAAACCTAATGAAGTGACGTGTTTGGTTTTCCGCGTTGCTTTTCTGCCTTCCATTCTGTCCAACTAAACCCTCAGCACCCCCTGTTGTTTTACAGTGTCCATTTGAGGCCCATTCTCACCTAGTCTCTAGGTAAACCTTTGAACCTGACCCTGGGTTGACCCCTTGACCCTAGTTTTAAGTGAGGAGAGGGAATGATGTATTGTGTGACTGTTACCTGTGGGAATTTAGTGATATCAGGCACCTAGTCTAGATACCTAGTCTTCCCTATATTTATTTAATTTCTTAAAGACCGAAAGAAGCAGGAGAAAGCATTGGTTTAAAAAAGAAAAGTTTATTTAAAACAAAAACAATTAAGACAGCAATATACAACTATATAGATATATATTGGAATTTCCCCATTGTGGGACAAATAAAGGAATATCTTATATAAGACAACTATATACACAATATTTATTTAGCAAACATAATTGACAAACTAAATACACTATATACACAATATTTACAAATCCCTCCCTCCCAAACACACACACACACACACACACACACACACACACACACACACACACACACACACACACACACACACACACACACACCACACACACACACACACACACACACACACACAAAGCGTTCGTTGAGGGGAGCCGCCCCTCACTCACACACACACACACACACACACAAAGTGAAGTGTTCGCTCAGGCAGGGGGGCTGCTCCATCACGCCCCTTCACCTCTGCCAGCCACTGCTCCACAGTTCTCCCTTTCCCCTCGGCCCGGGAGCAGAAGGTCTCCTTCTTGTAGCGGCTGTGGCCAAACGCCCGCGTCTTCGGTTGGCCACTGCGCCTGCAGTTAAAGTGGGAGACCTTCTTTGCTGGTTTTAAGTGTTCTCCCAGCTCCCGGCACAACGCTCTTTCTCCTCCTGGAGCTTGCGCCTCCAGGCGGTGTTCCTTGGCACTGGTGGAGCAGTGGCAGCTGTGGCTGTGGAGGGGATGTCACCGGCCTCCGCGCTGACGCTGGTGGACAGGACGGCGTCCGCGCTGGAGGCTTGTGGGGTGGCTGATGAGGGAGGAGGAGGAGGCAGTGGAGGAGCTGGCGACGATGAGGTCCAGGACCAGAAGCGTCCGTGGGCAGGCGGTGCTGGAGGGGGCTGGTCTGGCTGCTCAGGCTGCTGCAGCACAGTCGGTGGGGCAGGCAGGGGGCTCCGCTGCAGTCTGGGGAGTGCTGGGCCCCAGGACTGCAATGGCGATGGTGTCCCTCATCATGGCCTTGCTCCTCTGGTTGTGCCTTAAAAAACAGAATGTAACAAATGCACATTAGTAATCATGACATCACACACACACACTCACACAGTGCCACTTCAAATCAGATGTGAGAGAAAGGATCAGGTCTTACCATTGCGTCAGGGTCCGCCGATTGACATCATATAGCTGGATGCGGGTGCTCGTCATGAGGGCTGCACAACTATAAACATTCTCGCGAATTGTTAGATAGTCCCTCATGACGGCACCCCAGCGAGGAATCCAGACCCCGGCAATCTTCCTGCCCTCGCTGCAGTGGAGGATGCTGAGGTCCAGCAGGACAGCCTCCACAAGCCTCGACACATCGGGAGACTGCGCCGCTCCCGCCCCCTTGCCCAGGACCGCACTACATAGACAGAGAGAGAGAGAGGAGAGAGAGAGAGAGAGAGAGAGTGAGTCAGTGAGTTAATTAGTGACTGACAGGACAGGACAAGAACCAAAAAAGCTTGGAAATTTATTGTGACTGCTTACCGCTTCACACTATCCACACCCCTGGCATGTGAGCGTGCCGCTGGGTGGTCCGGAATCGGCCTTGGACAAGCCGGCCCTGGTGACGGGGGGGGAATTTGACCGCTGCCTTGTCCCAATCACTCAACTTCAGCCAGAGAGCGGTGATCTCTCTGGCTTGCCTGGGAGTGACGTAGCGGCGGTGGCGCAGTTCCACGAGGGCCTGGGCCAGGGCCACGACGTGCTGGTAGCTGCCTCCACCTGGCCCGATAACATCCTCCTTCCTCCTCCTCCTCCTCCTCCTCCTCAGCCTGCTGCACCTCCATTTGGTCCACGCGGGTGAGGTTTGAGGACTGAAGGAGAGCGCTGTGGTGTTCGAGGAGACGAATCTCCTCTGGTTCCTCCTCCTCGAACTCTTCATCACTGCCCCCCCCCCCCCGGCTTCGTCCTCATCAGTCCCTCCTGGAGCGTCAGGATCATCCAGGTCCTTCTGCAGCACAGCGCCCGTCTGGGAGAACAGGTACTCCACCCCAATGAGTTCCCCTGTGGGCACACAGAGACACAGATGTTAAATGACAGACACCTAAGACAGGTGTTAAACGTTACCGTTACCTCAGACAGATTTATGACTTACCTGTGTACTCCCTGGGCATGGTGTACGTGTCGACCAGCGTGAGCCCAAGAAGCTCTTGGGTCAGCTGGTCGAAGCTGTGCTGCAGCTGGGCACTGTAGCAACGCAGCGCCGACCTCTGTCCTCCCTCGATTCTCGTTCCACCGCACCAGGCCCTCCAGCAGGTACACCTGGAAGTGTACATCACTTGCAGATTGTCCTAAGCAGAAACAAAGCAACACAGTTAGTGTGAGGACAAATAAACACACAAATACATAATTGAGTCTGTGTTGTAAACCACACATGTACTTACCTGGGATGAAGCGGCACAGGTGCAGGTGGAACGATTCCAGGGAAGTGGAGCCTCGGCCGCACCGGTAGACGGGGAGCCTCACCCCGCCTTTGGTGAGCTCTCCCGTCTTGGTGTAGAGGTCCACTCCCGCAGGGTCCTGGATGCAGTCGAGGTGTCGGCGCTGCGTGCTCCAGATCTCCTCCATTCGGGCGCGGTCGATCAAAGGGACGCCCATGCTGTCCGTCACGTGCCAGAAGGTGTCCAGCACCTCTTGGACCAGCCGCTCCGTCTCCACTGCACCCCTGGTGCGGCGCCGGCAGTGACGGGCGAGCTCCTTGGCGGACAGCTTGACCTCCTGGGCGTCCCTCCCCTCCTCGGACTGCTTGGCTCCTCTCAGGCGGGACACGTCTTCGGCGTCCCACTCAAAAATGGCGAAGGAGAGCCTCGCCATGAAGAGGCCGTAGAGCTGGTGGCTGTCGGTGGTCACCCCCTCTGGCGAAACGCCGCATGAGGTGCCACACGTCGAGCCTGACGACCAGCTCGTGCCACTCGTGGAACAGCTTGGACGTTTGACACTGTCCCACGGTGGCACAGCAGTCCCGGTCCACGTACAGGACCCTTGGAGGGGCCTTCCCGGCTTCGCGGTACCATGCCATGTCGACAAGTCCGCCCCCCCTCAGCTGCGGTGAGGACGGACATGAGCACCTGCCCGTACTCATTGCCGACGTTGGTGACCCAGGCGGCCGTCCCGGCAGCACCGCCCGCAAGCTTTTTGGTGATCTGTGTGACACAGCAACACAACAACATTCAGACACATGACAAAACAAACATTACACTGGGTACACGGCACGCTGTGGTGGATAACAAAACCTACCTTCTTGGTGGAGTCCATCTTCAAAAGATCACCAAAGATGGAAGTGACTCTGGCTCTCGTCTCGTCGAGCCTCGTCAAGGCGTCCCTGACGTAGACGTTGATGAGCCAGAGCACTGTGGGCACCGGGTGCATGGTTGGGAGCGACGACGCCGCCAGCGGCGCAGCGCCCGGTACCCGAAGCTTGCGGAGCACGGAAAGGTACAGCATCGACCGCGCCATCCACTCTCTGGTGTGCTGCTCCACCAGAGAGGCACGGAGGCGAGACGCACTGTTGCCCAAAGTGCGCTCCTTCATGAGCCCGATCACAGCTCTGTCACAGGACAACCTGGGAGGGGAAAGAGGTGATCAGAGGTTACTGGAGAAAACCACAGAAATACATTACTGTTGCTGTTACTGTTTACATTACTTACTTGTACGTGAGAACTGCTGGAAACTGCTCACGATGGGCCATGTCCAGCTGTCCCAAGATGTCCTGCGACCATCCCGGCATCTTCTTGTGACAGGAGCTGCATTCCAGGTACTCCGTGCCCATGAAGTACCAGCAGCTCCTGTCCAAGACCCTCCTCACCGTCTTGTAGAGGCCAGCTCCCGCAAGCTTGCCCCCACAGGCGACGATGGGGCAGCGGAGGTGGTACGCCCACATCCTGTAGGGCACCCACAGGAAAAAGGGACTCTGGAAAAAGGGGTGGGCTGTGGCGGGTGGCTGGGTGTAGAGGGGCCGGGCACCTGGTGGGTGCCACCACAGGCGGAGTTCAGATGTGAGGACACCCTGCCCGTTGGGTGCCCTCCTGAACAGTGCCCGGCCCACCCAGTCGTGCTGCTCTTCGGGGAGCGTCAGCCTCCAGCCACGTGGTAGCAGCTGAAACACACAGCAGTGTCAGACCGTTAGTGTACTGAACACAGACACACACACACTACAACACAATATGTCATCACTGAGCATACCTGTGCGCCGGGGCCTGACCTCTCCCCACAGGTGTTGTCCTGAAGGGGACGTTCCGGTGGCTGGGAGAGAGAGAAGGGGGGCACGGCTGATGGGGCATCCCTGCACGGGTCGACCTCCATGGCGGCAGCGAGCAGGTCAGCATCCGAGGGTCCATCCTGGGGACCAACAGCGTCCAGGGGTGGTTGTGGTGGTTGTGCTGCCAGGGCTGCCTTCTCTGCATCCCGGGCCTGCACATATTTTTTTAAGTCCACCAACCTGGACGCTTTGGCTGTGGGTGCCGCCTGCCTCACAAACTGTACATAGCTAAAAAAGAGAACAGAAATGCAATGGGTAAAAAAGTCACGCACACACACAGACATACACACACAGACACAGATACACACACAGACACACACAGATACACACACAGACACACACACACACACACACACACACACACACACACACACACAAACAAACAAACAAACAACTTACCTTGCCCGCTCACGGTCCGTCGACTCGTACAGGGTCTTGTAGGTCAGGTCACTATGAACACCGAACCCCACCAGCGTGTCGTCCACGCCCCTCATGGTCTGGGGACTGCCCTCGAGCATCCTACGCCTGTCGATGGCTGCCACCATCGGCGGGAACAGCCTGGCGTAGGAGACGAGGGCGTCTTTGTGCACCATGAGGGCATTCTGCTGACTAGTGCCCCCTTTGTCTCTCTCTCCCTCGTGGGACACACAGATGGTGACTGCGTATCCCACGTCATTCTCCAGCAGCCACCGGAACGTCTGACCACGGTACTGGCCGAGCTGCAGCTCGCTCTCGGCCAGCACCTGATGGTGATCGGTGGGGTTACCTCCCTTCTGCACCACCCTGTCTCTTGCCTCAGAGCGCACCAGCTCAGGGGTCTTAACCACCACCAGGGCAGTGGCAGAGGCAGAGGCCCCCCCTCTGGCGGCGGCTCAAGGCCAGCGCCTCCTGAGAGGCCCGCAGGGTCAGGTCAAGGTTTGCCTCAAAGCGGAAAATAGGCTGCATTTTCTAGAAAGACAAGAAATAAGATTTAAGTCAGTAATCTGCTACACATGCACTGTTTACATCCTACTGACAGTCTATTACTGTACTCAATGATACTGTGCCCATTCATTAACATACATTCAACATCAGGCGTCCTGTTTACACATTTAAACCATATTTACACTTTGAATTTTGACTTCAAACTGTAGTAACTACATCTACAGGGTCTAAGGAAGATAATCAGGTAGTCTGTTTAAAGATTAAATACATTGTGAGAGATCGCCAGCCCTCAGAAAAGTAGTAACTAAAATGACCTCATTCACCTCCTTGTTTTTAGCTAGCAAAATCACGGCTGGTCTGTTTACACATTTAAACCATATTTACACTTCAAATTTTGACTCCACCTCGTTGTACCAGCATACCAAGGGTCTTAAGAAGTGAGCCAAGTTGTCTCATCACGTTTTTAAAGCGTTTCCAGAGATCGTCAGCTCATCACAGCAGTGGCTAAATGCTCATTCATTTCCAACGCTTAGCATGCTAATAGCGATTTATATGCTAACGCATCTAAAGCACAGTTAAACTTTAAATATCAACTCCACACAATAGCAGTACAATATCCTAGGTCTCAACAAGTAAACCCAGTATGGGAATATTATTTTAAACACATTTCACCGATCGGTAATGACATCGGCGGCAGTCCTAACTTACGCTAACGTTACATTGGCTCGCTGTTTCACTGCTAACTGATTACTGTATAATATATAAGCTGCCTTTTCAATGTAGCACATAATTTTACAAACAATAAAGTTTGTCTAACCATATAATATTGTGTGAATGTCCGTCCGTCCGCTCACTCAAACGCCGCTCAGTCCGAATGAATGAATGACACTGACCGTGGCTGTGGCTTTGGGGGTGGGCGGGACATGCGGCGAGCTGTCGAATCACAGCACAGCACCCAAATGGAACAGACCAATGGGGTTGACCTGGCCTTCACCCATTGGCCTGTTCCATTTGAGCATGAGCCAATGATAGCCTCTGAAATCGGTAGGTGGGGACATTTATGTGGAACACAGGTACAGAGACGAAGGCTGTCCCAGAGGCGCTCCCCCAGCGTTCTTCTCTGTTTTGGTCGGCACCCGCGCATGCGCACTAGAGCGCAAAAGACGCGCGGTCGACGTGCGGAACGGCACTCCCGCTCGCCGGTTCGAATCCCGACGGAGGCAAACTGCGAAACGCGTGCATAGCGTCGAAATGTCTTCTCTAAATATAAAAAAATGATTAAAACATGCTTGGAACCGTTGTATAGAGTCTATAAATGATAATGAATTTGCATATTTCCAAGGCCAGGCAATGCAATAATAAATGGATTTTTCATTTACAGTACGGTTTATCTCCTGTGTCTTCATTTTATTGAGAATATGTATCATCAGTGTTTATTGAGAATATGTATCATCAGTGTTTATTGCTTTAAATTTGATATAGGACAAGAGAACAATGATACCAGTATAAAATGATGACAATTTATTTGAAATATGAAGTCAGATGTCCAGGATACAGGACAGTGCAGCATATCAGTGTGGAAAGGGCTTTACAAATAAAATACAATTCTCAGTAAAAAAAGGGTAAATAAATTATTTATGTATAAATTAAAGTTACATGCTGTGTATGATTTGTTTCCCCTTTTTCTTCAGTGAAATAAATATCAATTAAATATATTGTTGTTGTGTTCTGCATCTTCACAACAACAACATCAAACACAGCAGAAGTACAGAGCAAAATAGATTATTTAAACTACAATCCATTAATAATAATAATAATAATAATAATAATAATAATAAATGGTGATGCAGAACAGAGCAGTGGCACAAGGCAATCACAGCAGGCAGACACATAGTATAAGAGCTCAGCACAGATATGCATGGATACATAACACAGGGGCATTACAGTGTGAAGTACCTGTACATACAAGGCTTTTTATTTTTTTGGCAGCAACAGAGCCAGTGGCAACAGCAGATGAACCAGCACAAATGGCAGTCCGATATCTTGCGTCGCAGCTACTGGATGTAACTGATGTAACAGTGATCACATTAATGAACATACCCACATGTCCAAAATATAAAAAATAAAAAAAACTTGTCAGTGCATAGAATCAGAACAGCACAGAGGCATGACAGCGTGTTATACAGGTGTGAATGGGACACACATTTTTTTCCAAGCAGAGTGTCACTGTGCTGTAGAAGAGTTGTGGCAGGGTGGGTGGACCGGTGTTGGTAGAAAGCCTCCACACTGCGGCAAAGTCCCGGTCCTTGTGGAGGGGAAAGTCAATGTCTTTTTAAAAAAAAACACACACACAACACTGCAAACAACTATATACACCTGCCCCAGCAAGAGTGCGAAATCAGTCCGGGGCTCGATTGCATGTGAAACAGGAAAAAGCCAGAATTACATGGGAAACGCTAAAAAGTCACTTTTAATAGTTTTGTCCATTACAGCCAAACTAAGTGAGAGAGCCACACCAAACCACTCTATAATGTACAAGTCGCCGCTGTGAAGCTTCCTGAGGTCGAAACTGGCAGATAGGTGCTTCCAGAAGAGAATGGCAGCTTGTGTGAAAAAGCTTGTTTTCTCAGCCTGAGAAGCTCATTCAGCACACTTAG